ACACCATCTGTTGATTATGAGGTTACATCTGGTCTTTCCTTTTTTTTATCAATCCATTGTCACTGCTCAATATATCTTTGTATCTCTGTACTCATCTGTTATTTAAGAAATAAAGGACGCGTGGGAATGTTTTACTGTACGATAAACAACGACTATGAGTCGATTACGTGTGGGAGACATCAACATTAGGTATAGCCTCTTTAAGGATGATGATACAATGTACAAGCTTCACAAATATCTACCCGTATGTTATTAATGATGACTCCCTCCATAGAATCCGGAAATGTCGGACAAGTCAATTTTACGCACATGTGGGAATTTCCCGCATATTCTCACAATCCTCACGTCGATTATCTGTACCTATTTCTCCCAATACCGATTGTCATATCTCCCCGTTCTGGGTGCGACCGGTCGGACATCGCATTTATCTGCGTTGCCAAGCTACATATATTGGAAACAACTCACCATTCACGTCCCTCTTAATATCAAAGGTGCAGTTGTGTAGCCTAGTGGGTAAAGCGTTCGCTCGTCACGCCAAAAACCCAGGTTCGATTCCCCACATGGGTACAATGTGTGAAGCCCATTTCTGGTGTCCCCTGCCGGGATATTCCTGGAATATTACTTAAAGTGGCGTAAAACCATACTCACTCACTCTCAAACTTAACATCGTTCAATATACGACATCATCAAGTTGCGACGCGCATGGGCGAATCTCCAGAAATGACGTCATGGTAGAACAATGTTTTATCGTGAAATAAACCATGCTTCGTTCTTCAATGTCCTTTCCGATTTATCGCGTAGCTATCTTATATTATTATATATCCCCATTTTTGTAGCGTATATAACATTTACCATCTGCCATTAGTCAGATGTTTTATCATTTGTTCATATCTTTTCCCACAGAGATAGGGGGGTGGTCGGGTAGCCTAGTGATTAAAGCGTTGGCTCGTCACGCCGAAGACCCGGGTTCGATTCCCGACATGGGTACAATGTGTGAAGCCCATTTCTGGTGTCCCCCGCCGTGATATTGCTGGAATATTGCTAAAAGCGGCGTAAAACCATATTTACTCACTCACTCCCACAGAGATAGGAATCAGCGGCTTCACCGGCAACAGTGTCTTAGACATGAGCTTTGAAACCGAAGTGAGCACAAGCATTGATTCAGTGGCTGATTATCCTCTTTATCTTGGACACTGCTTTATTCTCTTTTGCAACTATGATACTTACTTATTGGCTATTTTCACTTCATTTTTATGGTATGTCCTTGTACTGTTATTAGTGTTTTTAATGCTTGTAAAAGGCGACTAACGGGATCGGGTGGTCAGGCTCGCTAACTTGGTTAAAGTATGTCATCGGTCCCAATAACGTGGATCGATGCTCATGATATTAATCACTGGATTGTCTGGTCCATACTCGATCATTTACAGACCGCCGTCATATAGCTGGAGTGTTGCTGAGTGCGGCGTTAAACAGAAAAAAACAACAAACAAAACAAGTGTTTGAACCATTTATTTATGATTTCAAGTTTACTTATATTTCGTTGGACCCCAGACTATGGAAGACAAGGCGAAATCCAAAAGGACAAATATCTATTATAAACTCTTATTTTTATTTCACTTTGATGCAACAGACATTTTGCATACTTTGGCCATGGAATCTGGATTGTTCCTCATTGGTAACATCGCCAATGCTGCCTAAATTTCCCTCCAAACTAATGTGTCTGGAGCTGCGTATTGCATATGGAATGTACATGTGGGTGTAACGCGGTACAGTTGCTTTCCCGTATCAGGATCAAGGAAAGTTTACCAAACCTGAGTCGTACACTAATGTTGGTCTCTATTTACAGTGGTTTATTCCCTCTTGAAAGGTGTCGATGCTAAAATGACACGAGTAGCATTTAAAATCGGTTTTAATGGTTCCATATTACTCTAAAATGAGACAAAATCGTATTTCGTAAAGTATTTGTGAAAATGTCATCCAACCCTCGTTCATTGTATAATTCGTTCAATCGCTCTAAATGTAAGTGATGTAATTCGTTCAATACATTTTAAGGTTTGCCGCAATAACTTTTTCATGAGAACGAATTGAATTTTCGAACTTCAACATGTCTTTCAGTTTTGAATGAGAATGATGCAAATTGCCGCCATTTTTTATGCAATCCCTTCAAAATGGAGGGTGTAATTCAAACCTGCCGTTCTTACTTGTTGGTTTTATTACGATTGTGAGTTTTTTTCATCTTTTTATCTAATGCCGCTCACAGTAACATTCCAGCTCTGTGGCGGCGGTGTGCAAATAATCGACAAGACAATCAAGTGTTTGACATCATGAGCATCGGTCTATGCAATTGGGATACGATGACATGCATCAAACAAGTCAGCGAACTTTACCAACCGATCTCGTTCGGGATCGACCATTTTATATTGTAATAGGGTCTGGGATAGTGTTTGGAGACCAGATATTATTTTTCAGTTACTGCTGCAAAACCAGATATTTTTAAAATTAAAACCAGATTTTAAAAAAAATTAAAACTAGGAGCCTAAATAGATATCTTTTTCAAAACGAAAAAGCACATTGCAACAATGTACACACACACACACACACACACACACACACACACACACACACACACACACACAGAGGATTATCAATGGTCAAGGCGCGATGTTTACGGAGTTATCGCAAATTTGAACGCAAACCTACTGGGAATGATATTTATGTATTTGATGGTCCATCGTATCACTTTACGATATAGGCTTTTGACATCTAGATTTGTCTCAATATAAACCAATGACACCTAATTTCCCTTGTTGTTAATCAGTGACTGAATATTTTAGTTAGCATCAATATTCCAGCGACCTGTAAATTTGAAATCAGAACCAGGCATACCAGAGACCGAAAACATGTCTGACATACACGTCATCGCAGCAGGATGACACAGTGAGCCTGGGGAGTCATCTTTGGTTGGTTCTTATGACAAGCGCTGACTGATGGGTTTGCCATGGGTGGCACGTGGTCCTGTGCACAGCGTACAGGTCACAATTTAGGCGAAGTTAAGCCACGCCGGTCTCAGAGAGTAGTTGAATGGGTGACCGCTTTCAGCAGTTTGACTTCTGCGAGTTTCTAGGGTTTAATTCCTGCTATGACAAGTTGGTAGACGATGAATGCTTTTACATAGTTGCCTCCCGTGTCCGTGCCCGGATCGTTTTCCAGGTTCTCCCAATTGTGATCGTAATATGTTGGAAAATAATGCGGAAGATGTGTCACTTTGAGTTATCCCACGTGAATCAAACATGCAGTTTTAAAACTAAATTTTTTTCCACTTCTGGGTTTGTCCGGTCTAATCCACTGTCTTGTTACGCCCGAGATTCAGTTAAATAAATTATGAAGCCGGTTCGCCCCGATTATGTTTCTAGGTTTGTCAGCACCATACCCTTGCTCGTGGGTTTCACCGAAGTGGTAAACGTCTGAGACCTGCATCACTTCAGGCTTTCCTCCCACATTAAGCTGACACGCCGCGATATTACTGGAATACTGTTAAAAGCGGCGTTAAAGCCAACTCACTCACTAAATATAAAGCGTCAATACCAGAGAATAACAACTCTCTATTATCCGCCGAAACAGATTCCACTGGGCACAAAAATGTCAGACAATCAAGTGATTGACTACTTAGTCCAGTGACACAAAAAGCGCATTTACTGATTTTGTTTTACGTCTTCTGTGTACACGTGAAGAATAATCTGCTGCATTGTGAGTGAAGGAAAACGTTTCAGAAACATGTTCATTTTACAAGACAATGTGTGCAGTTTTATTGTCTCGGCCCAAACATAACAGAATACCAAAGAACCGACTCCATTAATCTCGAGATCCGGGGTAGAATAGGTCTTCAGCAACCCATGCTTGCCGTAAAAGGTGACAATGCTTGTGGTAAAAGGCGACTAACGGGATCGGATGGTCAGGCTCGCTGACTTGTTTGATGCATGTCATCGATCCCAATTGCGTGGTTCGATGCTCATGACATTAATCACTGGATTGTCTGAAATATTTTCCACTTCTGGGTTTGTCCGGTTTAATCCACTGTCTTGTTACGCCCGAGATCCAGTTAAATAAATTATGAAGCCGGTTCGCCCCGATTATGTTTCTAGGTTTGTCGGCACCATACCCGTGCTCGTGGTTTCACCGAAGTAGTAAACGTCTGAGACCTGCATCACTTCGGGCTTTCCTCCCACATTAAGCTGACACGCCGTGATATAACTGGAATAATGTTAAAAGCGGCGTTAAAGCCAACTCACTAAATATAAAGCGTCAATACCAGAGAATAACAACTCGCGATTATCCGCCGAAACAGATTCCACTGGGCACAAAAATGTCAGACAATCAAGTGATTGACTACTTAGTTCAGTGACACAAAAAGCGTATTTACTGATTTTGTTTTACGTCTTCTGTGTACACATGAAGAATAATCTGCTGCATTATGAGTGAAGGAAAACGTTTCAGAAAAGTGTCCATTTTACAAGACAATGTGTGCAGTTTTATTGTCTCGGCCCAAACATAACAGAATACCAAAGAACCACCTCTATTAATCTCGAGACCCGTGAAGATCCGGGTTAGAATAGGTCTTCAGCAACCCATGCTTGCCGTAAAAGGTGACAATGCTTGTCGTAAAAGGCGACTAACGGGATCGGATGGTCAGGCTCGCTGACTTGGTTGATGTATGTCATCGATCCCAATTGCGTGGATCGATGTTCATGATATTAATCACTGGATTGTCTGGTCCAGACACGATTATTTACAGACAGCCGTCATATAGCTGGAATATTGCAGAGTGCGGCGTTAAACAAACAAACCATACCATACCATTAATCTCGAATACTCACACCCTTTCCTTGCGACCCTCAACTTAGACTAATAAAGGGAAATACAATAACAATAATTGATAAATCAAAACCATTTGTATGTTTGACACCCATCTCGTCTGATTACTGTACATGCTGTAATTGCAGGTGCTGGCAATTACAACGTCAACAACGAGTGTACACATGACACGGTAATAGTGTCCCGATCAATAGTTCCCCAACAAGCCAGGGACCGCTACCACCGTCCTTTATAATGTCCAGCTTTCAGGAAGAATGGCCATAGGTCGCAACCTACAGCTGAATGCTTCTGTGAGAAGTCTTACCACGTACGCGTCCATAACCTGACTGCTTGCATTTTCCACATTTGTTCATCGTAATAAGCTGCGAAGTGCTAACGACGTCCAAACGATTGAGCGTGTTTTACACAACAGTAGTCACAGAGTGATTCGGGGATCAATGATCGATATGCTGTAGGCGAGTTATGGCTCCGCCTCCTAGAAGAAAATATGTTGTTGTGTGTCGACACTGACAGGAGTCGCTCATCCTTCAGACACGTATACACACGAGGGAGCGGCACGGGCAAGTGAAGGCACTGGTCTGCGTATCGACACGCCTTGATATTTTCCAGACGTTTGTACTCGGATATAGCTACGGCGAGCTTACTGAGCAAGTGTGTCACGTTTTCATATTTCAGGTAAGTAGGTTCTCTATACAAATGTGAAGTCATGTGTACATTTTGTCATAACTATATGGAAATATTCAGACCTCTTTATAGATACTATATAGTATATATAGAAGGTATTCAGAAGTTGAGCCACAATATGTATGGCTTGCTACTTCTGTAGTTTTTATACACCAAGTCTCGATGAGACCTTTTGCCCTTGATGAGGCATTAACGATGGGGCATCAATGATGGGACTACTACTACTACTACTACTACTACTACTACTACTACTACTCACCCATGAAGAACAGCAAACCATGCTACACTAACCGGGTCGGGTGGTCAGGCTTGCTGACTTGGTTAATAATCAGAGTAGTGTCTGATCCAGATTCGATTATTTTCAGAGATCTGAATCCAATATTGCTGACACAAGCTACTACAACTACAATAATAATAATAATAATAATAATAATAATAATAATAATAACGAACATTTGTAATGCGCCATATCCACCCAGGAATACATGTTCATAGCGCTACATGATAACGAATAGGTAAAGAAAAGGAATTTATAAGTACATGTACTGAAGCGGACGAGATGGGATTTCAGGCCTTCTAGATGTTTGTTGTTTAACGCCGTACTCAGCAATAATCCAGCTATATGACGGCGCTCTGTAAATAATCGAGTGTGGACCAGACTATCCAGTGAGCTATCGTCATGAGCTAGAAACAGTGAACATGTTCTTGATTTTGATTTATCCAATGAAATGTTTCACCTTATTCGTACTTTCACAAGTCTAGATGTTTTATAGTTTTCGTGTTTTAATGTTTTTTTAGATACATATTATTTGGAAATGCACATATTCCTAATGATATAAAGGTACTGGACATTGTTATGAAAAATTATACATCACACATGTATGTACCACGAATAATCAATGTTACTGAGCATATAAATTATATTATATCATATGTGATGAATAATTATATGTTCCTCGTATGATACCAGTGGCACGCAATGTTCATGAACAGTTTTGCTATAACTTTCGTGTGGTATAACACGATATATTCAATTATAATGTTCTATATATATATATTACATTGTTACTGAATTTATTTCGGTTTAGTTGTTGAAGACTTGCCGCATATCTGTGTCGGTGCACTTTAATTTTGTCTATATGTGTCAACGTGTAAGACGACGAGGGACTCGTTCAAACTTCTTTAGTCGGTTTTAAAATAAACAAATACAATTACTAACAGAAATAAATTTAGCGGTGATTCCAACTGCTCAGCAGGCAGACGTATCCTGCTCGCGGCTGTACATACAGGTGCTGTCGGAATACCTGACTAACTAACAGTACAGGTGTAAAGATATATATACATGTATGTAAGTAAAGATATATATATATATACATGTATGTAAGTAAAGATATATATACATGTATGTAAAAATAGATAACCAAGGACAGACGAAGTGACAATAGCGTTGCCCTTGACATGAGACTTATGATTTAGTGATGAATTGCTGTGTTGGACAATGACACAATGGATCGCTGTGCTCACAGCATATCACTACAATGCAGTTTTAAAGAAGATTTACGTTATAATTTATTAAGAAAACAACCCAAACCTTAATGGTATTTGCGTAGAGAAGAAATTTAAATGCTTTATGAATTCAAACATTTTACAAAAATTGCTTGCCTGAACGCTTCTTAGAATGTTCATAATTATTCAATTACATAATTACAATTTGTTTGTTTTGTTTTCCCTCTTTATACCTTTTCTTTTCCTTTCGTTGTTGAATCGAGGAGTTTGTTATTGTTTCCTGTGAGTCTTCTGAATTCGTAGCTAAATTTCCCACCTCTCACATTATATATATCTACTATGTTTCTGTTGTATAAAGTCTCTCATTATCTCCGCTATCGCGTTGATTCCAATACAAATGGCAAAAATATGTTTAGATGAGACTATCACTCCTTGACAGTTTGATAAGACGCAATTGTTAAGACGACACTTGTAACATTCAGTTTGTGGGGTACCGTAAGGCAAATAGCGTCAGAAATGTTTGGTTGGTTGGTTGGCTGGTTGGTTTGTTGTTTAACGCCGCACTCGGCAATATTCCAGCTATATGACGGCGGTCTGTAAATAATCGAGTCTGGACCAGACAATCCAGTGATTAATATCATGAGCATCGATCCACGCAATTGGGACCGATGACAGGTATAAACCAAGTCATCGATCCTGGCGACCCGATCCCGTTAGTCGCCTCTTACGACAAGCATAGTCGCTTTTTAACAGCAAGCATGGTTTGCTGAAGACCTATTCTACTCCGGATCTTCACGGGTCCAGAAATGGTTGGATTGATGATGGGTAATAGTACTCACCATCCAGCAATAATTTAATAGGTTCACTTTTATATTATCTAGTCTTGATAACACACTTAAGTTGACGGAGATTAAAACAGGCACGACCAAAGTTGGGAAGCTTTCCAGACTAGTTTCTGGAAAACGTAAACTTGAATTTTCACATTTAGTTCAAATGAGACGTTAATTCATCTTTTATTATTTAGAGATTGATACAACAGGGTCCTGTACTACTATGGCATTCGGGTGTTGAAGGTATCCAACTTGTCCAAGGTGTGCACACATGTCCTAGAACTCTCTCTGAATCTCTCATTGCTCTCATTTTAAAGGGGGGTAAGGCTCGGCGAAATTGGCAGTCCCAGCACGGCTCATTCACGTTAAATCCCACTTCAGTCGTGAATGTTTAACCTTATTCAATGTCACAGTTTCACCAAGGACACTTATCAGAAGGTCTGGAACTCAACTTGACATGGGCAAAAGGTCTTTCAAAAGGTCTCGTGATAATGTAACCGATTTAGTGTGGAGGTAAACACAGGTTCAAGACACTGGTTACGGGTGAGAACATTTTATTTCCGTTGTATGATAACACTCCCTGAAACAATATATCATTCAATAAATACAGCGTCAGGCAATATACTTGAGGCTTCAAAACAGTCCATTACACAAATAAGGTGAAATAAAAATGACAAAGTATATGACAATATACAGGGGGCGATAACTCCTTGATTAACTCATACATTCAAATCAAATATATATGTATAATACAATAATATGTATCTGCCACAATAATCAACGATCAGTACACAGTTATACTACACACAAGAGAACACCATGAGGTATGCCTCACGAGATGGAGCATCTATTTATAGTTAATGGCCTAGTCTGTCTCACAGTCCTCGAAACATATTATTTTTCCTGTCCCCCAGCCCTTACTGTAATGCTGAAGACCTAAATGATTTCCCTCAGGGTCGGAATCTACCATCCCACTTGGAATCCATTTCAATTCATGTGGTTGCTCGTTCTATCAAAGATATACATTTTCAGAGACAATGTCCGTTCTCCTCACGATAGTACGTAGCTCAAATATCACTCTAACATGCTCTACCATCTCACTTGGAATCCTTTTCATTTCATGTGGTTGCTCGTTCTACCAAAGATATACATTTTCAGAGACAATGTCCGTTCTCCTCACGATAGTACGTAGCTCAAATATCACTCTAACATGCTCTACCATCTCACTTGGAATCCTTTTCAATTCATGTGGTTGCTCGTTCTATCAAAGATATACATTTTCAGAGACAATGTCCGTTCTCCTCACGATAGTACGTAGCTCAAATATCACTCTAACATGCTCTACCATCTCACTTGGAATCCTTTTCAATTCATGTGGTTGCTCGTTCTATCAAAGATATACATTTTCAGAGACAATGTCCGTTCTCCTCACGATAGTACGTAGCTCAAATATCACTCTAACATGCTCTACCATCTCACTTGGAATCCTTGTCAATTCATGTGGTTGCTCGTTCTATCAAAGATATACATTTTCAGAGACAATGTCCGTTCTCCTCACGATAGTACGTAGCTCAAATATCACTCTAACATGCTCTACCATCTCACTTGGAATCCTTTTCAATTCATGTGGTTGCTCGTTCTATCAAAGATATACATTTTCAGAGACAATGTCCGTTCTCCTCACGATAGTACGTAGCTCAAATATCACTCTAACATGCTCTACCATCTCACTTGGAATCCTTTTCAATTCATGTGGTTGCTCGTTCTATCAAAGATATACATTTTCAGAGACAATGTCCGTTCTCCTCACGATAGTACGTAGCTCAAATATCACTCTAACATGCTCTACCATCTCACTTGGAATCCTTTTCAATTCATGTGGTTGCTCGTCCTATCAAAGATATACATTTTCAGAGACAATGTCCGTTCTCCTCACGATAGTACGTAGCTCAAATATCACTCTAACATGCTCTACCATCTCACTTGGAATCCTTTTCAATTCATGTGGTTGCTCGTCCTATCAAAGATATACATTTTCAGAGACAATGTCCGTTCTCCTCACGATAGTACGTAGCTCAAATATCACTCTAACATGCTCTACCATCTCACTTGGAATCCTTTTCAATTCATGTGGTTGCTCGTTCTATCAAAGATATACATTTTCAGAGACAATGTCCGTTCTCCTCACGATAGTACGTAGCTCAAATATCACTCTAACATGATACTCTTTATCGTATTTGCTTCCTGATAATACTGCCTTTATATACCCCTAACAACAGGGGCCTGACAAAAACTCTATTTAACATTGCTGTCATTTCTCGCACGCCGTGATCGTGTGCCTGGCGACTATCTTACATAACCATCACTTACTTCAACACATCGCCACATGCAAAGGAGTGATTGAGTAAGTTAGATCCATTGTCTCTTTGATTGTTACTCCAGTTTGATGTGAAAGGAAACATGACGTACATGTTTACTACATTGGTGGGCGTGCGGGTGCAGGTGCGGGTCATTATTATTAAATTTATTTATCATTTCTCGCAGCAAACCCGGGTACTCTCCAAATGTCAACAGATTGGGAAGTACCAAACCTAAGGCACCGAGAACAATAGGGAGTCGGACAACTTGGTACTTGGGATGCAATCGTGACATGTC